AATTGCAGAGCTTCTGGTTGGTTCCGTTCTCCCCATTCTCCACTGTTAATACTCTATAATTGTGTACCTAAGTGCCACAGAGTAGTTATGAAAAGTAAGGATAGACATAGGAACTAGAATTAAATAGTGTCTTCTGCAACCTCTTTTCATTCTTAATCTTTTTATAAAGGCAAAATCCACAAACTAATTCTATCATGCAAAGGAAGGATTGCTGGATTGGTTAATTCCAATATGCAAACAAGGGAGGTGAAAACTACTAGGAAGGAAGTCTACGTATGTCCAAATAACAGTTCTAAGATGATTATGGCTCCAGGATGTTTATGGTTCATTCCTGAGCTGAATTTGTCAACTGGTTTGGCAACTTAATAGCGGCACCTCTGAGAACTGAGGAACAGATGTGCATAGACCCCATGTTTCTTAAAGCCTCCTGACTCTTTTCATAATGACTCAGCAAAGTTGATTCCATTTTATAGGAAGGGGCAAAAGTAGGTTTACAGTTGTTTGTATGGAAAGTAATATAATTAATAAATAATAATGTAAGAATAAACTGTTTTGTATACTCACTATAAACCTACTTTTGCTTCATCTTGTATATTTTCCACTATCATGGTAAAGCTTGCTCTGTTACTTTCTGCTTTAAAGGGAGCTCTAAGGGAGAATGACCATTGTCATGACCTTTGTTGCTTTGCTCCTGTACACCAAGATGTTGTGGCAGGAAAAGGGTAGAGAGCACCTTGGCACCTAACTGCCGTATTTTGCTGTTTATAATGCATTCCCAAGTATAATGAGCAACCATGTTTTTGGCCCAAATTTTCAGGAAAAAAATCTTTTGCTTTAATTTTTTAAGTCAATTATTTACTTACATTTATATACTGTTTTGTATTACAAAGGAATTTTAGCATTTATTTTGAACATATTATGGTAAAGAAGTTTTATATAACAAATAATTACAAAACACAAAAACCAATACAAGATATTTCAGGTACTGCCATGTAAAATGTGCATCCTTATTTTTCCCTCAAACATTTGGGCAAAAGAGCATGCATTATACATGGCAAAATAGAGTATTTTAGTAGGGGAATGGTGATGTTGAGGAATGAAAGGCCTGTCACAATTGGGATTGGGTTTGAAAGACTTGGGGCATTTTTCAGAAATGCCTGAAATTTATCTTCCCTAGGTGATTGATTTAGTAACATTTAGTGTGGCTCCATAGCTTCCATAGTGAGATTTTGCAAAAGAAGAAAATTTAGCTTGATAATTTAAGGAGACAAAAGTTTATTCTTGGTTCTTCTAACCTCATCTACCTTTTCTTCTGTATCATTTTATCTTTTATTTTGGAAAATATGTGAAAGTTAATCTTCATTTATTTTTAAAATAACTTAGAAATAGTGTTACATTCTGAGTAATTTCTAATATCAACACTACTACAGAGTGATGCTCTTTGTGATGCCACTGTCTTGAACGATGACTACAGGACCAGCCACAGGGGTTAGGAACAGGTATCTGTGGATGCAACGAACAAATTCCACAGACTACAGAAGTCCTGTGGAGAAAAAGAGACAGCATGGCCACTCTCTGAGAAGGAAAGTACCCTGACCCTTGCCTGGACAGGCTTTTATTGCTTTTCTGGGAGTATTACCTCAAGGAAGGTCTTCATCAATCATTGTCAGGCAGTAATGATCAAACAATAGATAACATACAAAGAACTCTTAAGGGATTATTCTGAGTCAGGGTTAGTTAGTTAAAGGGCTACAAAACTTTGGGAAACTCATTTCATGCTTGGACCCTTATCAGAAAATTGAGGACTTTGTTAGCAAAGCAGATTTCACAGGATTTTATGCATTCTTTCTTTGGCTTGGTGACTCAGGGGAACCACCTGTTTCTGCTTAGGGCTGTACTGCCCTCTGGGATTGTTTCAGGCTTAAATCAGGCAGGGGAAGTAAAGCAGCCAAGAGATTAGGAGATTTCTTGCAGACAGAATGAAGACTCAGATCAGACAAAGCTGAGGGGCAGGGGTCCATCACCCCCTTTTTCTATAGCGCCCCCATCCCCAAGTCCTTCCCTGAGGGCCCCTTTGAGACTGTGCCTGTCTTAGTTTATCCCTCCCTTGGGGAATCTTACCCATCATTGTCTGACGGGTCAGGGGTCAGGCTCGGGGCTAAGCAGGGTGAAGTAAAGGAGGCAGAGGCAGTGCCCCCACCAGGGAGATAAGCTTTGTCTCCTTAGTAGCTTATGGTCCCAAGGTCTTTCACTTAGCCTTAGCCATGGGGGGTGGGTTACAGCTTCTGAAAGCAGGCAGGGCAGTTCCCAACACCAGATGGCCTCACTCATGTCTGACACTTGGTGCTAAAAGTCAGTTAGCACCAGAGCATGGTGGGTTCTTATGTTTAGGAAGCTAGAGAGCAGCTTACAGTGTGGCAGTCTTAGGGCAGCATTCTGAGAGGGCAGGCTCCAGTGCTTGCTGTCAGACCTCTGCTTGCTTTGCAGTTGCTGATTTCCATTTGGCCAAAGCAAGTTGCAGGGGCAATTTGAGAGTCACTGTGGGAGGTTGATAGGGGACTTAAGAGTTGGAAAATTTTAGTTCAAGGTAAATAGTTATAAGTTTAGCAAGTAATGTATAAGTTAAAGCTTTTGTTTCAGAAACTACAAATAAGGTCCACCCTGGCTCCTGGGAAAACAGCTGACTTCACTTCCTGGGGCACTGCTAAAGATTACCACCTGGGGACAAGTGGAAGCATCCAGGCCATTGTATTTCAGGGAGGGGCAAATGACCACCTGCCCCTGGGAACAGCTAACTGCCCAGAACAGGAATGTTGCAGTTTCTTCAACCTGTCCCTCCATGAATTTCAAAACTCCTCACCGTACCTTGTTTATTCCCTGCTATAAAAACCTTGCCTGGTAGCCCTGGCTGGTGTAGCTCAGTGGATTGAGCACGGGCCTGTGAACCAAACGATCATGGTTCAGTTCCCCGTCAGGGCACATGCCTGGGTTGCAGGCCAGTTCCCAGCAAGGGATGCACTAGAAGCAACCATGCATTGGGGGAAAAAAACAAACCAAAAAAACCTTGCCTGGATTAGGGTATGAACCTGCTATCTTATCAGATTCATAAAGAGTCAGTCTCTGTCATTGCTTACTATGTTTGGTAGTGACAGGCAGCCCGAATGCCAGTGTCCTTTCCAGTTTCAAGGTGACTTAGGTTCCACCTTGGTCAGGGAGGGGAAGCAAAGAATTTGTGGCCATTTCACAAGCCCAATCTTGTTTGATCTGCTTCTTGAGCTAATATTGGGTGTAGAAAGGAAAGGTACTGTTGGTTTCTTCTGTATTCCTGTATCACTGATAACTTTTTTAGTCCAGCATATGAGCTGTTGTGGAACTGGAGATACTTTGAATTAAAAATTGGACAGAAGGGTAATAGCTGCTGTTACGTATTTCAGGATCTTGTGAGGGAGGGACTAAATCCAGGATACAGAAATGACTGGAAAATAGATCCCGCCTCCCTTTAAGGAAGGATTGCTATGTAAGATAGTGAGTTTCCTTCTGCCCCTAGCCTGCTGCATTGTCAGAAGCAGTAAGGCAGAGGATGAGTAAGCATGCACCAGGGGCTCTGAAGGCACATTTTCCTCATTGAATGAGTTGACTTAAATGATTCTTATTGGTATCTAAAATCTCTGATTCTAGAACTTGTAAAAACCACTGTGCTTTTTGTACTAACAGGAGGGATAGGGCTGCTTGATGTTAGGGAAAGAATCACTATGCTCCAAGTGGAAGAGTTACCTTACACAGAATTTTAATTTTACTTGGTTTGAAAGTTTAGATTTCCTGCTAGAACTTCTGAGAGTTGGGATTCATGTTGGCTGTGAAAAACATTTCTCTTTAGCAGTGTCAGTGTCAGGGAGATGCTGCATTTTGAAGGTCTGCTTTTTGTGGATCTTTGTAATAGAATAAAAGGCATTTAAGTAAAAAAATTGGTGTGCAAAATTGCTCCAGCAACTATAGATCGAATGGTCAGCTTGTTTATTTAATGAAAATTATTTTGGTACCTTTTCTGTATCATGTGTTTTGCCCTATCCCAAACGTGATTTTGAGATCTCCTGCTTTCGTAACAAAATGGCCAGGCCCAGATGGTGCGACTGTCTGTCAGTGGAGAACACTGTGTCAGTAACTGAACAGAATATGAGCTGATTTCATTTTTTTTCCTTCATTACTTTCTTTGTTGGGAGCATGGTGTGGTAAAGTCTATTTCTCACTCTGTTGTAAACATACTAAGCAAGAAGTTTAATGTAGGTGCTGGCTTTGACTTTGGTTAATGTTGCCAGGCTTGTCACTTTGGTCAGTGGTAAACTGTGGAGTCCACTCCATTTCTAACATTTAGTTGTTTAGAAAACAGAGTAAGGCAATAAGCTCCAGATACAGAGTGATACATTTTTGGTGGGAAGCAAAATTTAAGCTATAAATAAATATGCCAGCTAAAGCTGAGATTGCTTTGCTGGCTGCTGGTGCATTTATGAGCTGGAAAATTGTGAAAAACATTCAACCCACCAACTGTATAGCTTATTGGCTCTTTGACTTGGGCTTCAGTGGTTCTCCTGGTAAAAATAATAATTATGTGCCCTGGTTGGTGGGCGTAGCTTAGTGGATTGAGCATGGGCCTGCAAACCAAAGGGTTGCTGGTTCAATTCCCAGTCTAGGGCACACGCCTGGGTTGCAGGCCAGGTCCCCAGTGGGGAGCATGTGAGAGGCAACCACACATTGATGTTTCTTTTCCTCTCTTTCTCCCTCTTTTCCCCTCTCTAAAAATAAACAAATAAAATATTTTTTAAAAATCTCTCCTTATTAAAAAAATATGTTATTCTGATATGGTTGCCAAACATCTCTGATTTTCACTCTACTTGTGAATAGATTCTGCAGCATGAACTGCTTTGTCTTTGATACAGTGTATTAGAACATTTGAGTGTTATGTTATCTGTGCTGATTTGTTGTTCTCTCCTCTTACTTTTCAGAATGGACTGCTGAATTCCAAAGTATTTGAGACCCAGTAGTAGAACATCACTCTGCCACTCACTCCTTTATCTTTTACTAGTTATTTAAAAACAACTTTTAATATCCTACCAGCTGCGCTTCAGACACACATGGTGCATTGTTGCCATTCCCCGGATTACATCTTTGAAACACAGACTCTTAATAATCTTCAGCAAACAAAGAGACGACCTCCTGGGAACATTTACTGGGAGGGGGTGTCACCCTGACTGCCCTCTAGCTTTTTCTGGATCTGGATTTGAATTTCACCATGGAGCAGCCTCGCATGGAGTCCTGTCTGGCACAGGTGTTGCAAAAGGATGTGGGGAAACGACTGCAGGTTGGCCAAGAACTTATAGACTATTTCTCAGACAGACAGAAGTCTGCTGACCTTGAGCATGACCAGACCATGTTAGATAAACTTGTGGATGGACTTGCTACCTCTTGGGTGAACTCTAGCAATTACAAGGTAAGCTGTGCATTAGAAAGCACTCTGGGTGGCTGGGCTGCCTTGGTGGATCAGAATTGATCCTTAGGAAAAAAAATTCTGTCTGAGTGATTAGCATGATTCCTTGCCTTCCAATAAGACACAGAGTGTGAATTGTTAACCTTCCCTGGAATCCTCAATTTCCTTTTCAGGGCAGATACAGAGCAAAATAGAACAGTACCCAGGTAGAGGTGTTTTCCTGCACCGGTGTGTCCACCGGTGCCTCTGCAGAGACGTGCTCTTTCAGGCCCAATCTCGTGGCAGAGACACGCTCCTTTGCCTCAGGCTGGAGCACTCATCAGCCCTGAATGACTCTCCCTGGGTCCAGAGTGGCAAAGGCATTCTCTCCAACCAGTTACAGGCGACCTTAACTAGGTTGTTAGATACAGAGCATTTCTGATCAGAAACAAAACAATGGCAGAGACTTGCCCCATTACCAGAAAACCAGAAAACGAGTAGTTGAGGTTTCCTTTCCTCTAGGTTTAAAACTTTCAAAACCTTTCCTACATAGTTTTACCCATCCCGATTTAACCATAATTTCATTTTAATCCCTGCTCCTTTCCTACACGGGGGAAAACTATATTTAAACTCAGTATCTGGCAGCTAAAAGTCCCTAGATTTCCATGGACATCCTGCAGCTTTCTGAACCTTAAATCTTGCAGACACCCTATAAATGAGATGGTCGCCCTTGGAGCCCAATTCATGACCTTCAGAACCAGAGCCATCACTATCAGAACCAGTTGCACAGAGAACGTGACTGGGGCAGTGCCCACACAGCAACAACACACAGCAACCAAGTTTTCAACCCAAAACACTTTCATGTCTCTGCTCCCTCCCCACTTCGTTTCCTTGTCACCTTTCCAGGTGTGACTAGGCGGCCAGTGCCCTCAAGAGCTCAGAGAAATCCTCAGAGACTGGGAAAATTCCAAAGCCTCACTCTCTCGAACCTGAGGGGGTCAGTCTACAACGGACAATTATCGTCCCGGCAGAGTTGCCAAAAACTGTTAACAGAGGTCCAAGGGGGGGGGTAGTGGGCAATAGTGGGCCTACCTAGGGATGCCAAAAACTGCTACAGAACAACAGGCCCCTCCCAAGAACGGTGTACTAATACCTACCAGGCTCGTCTGTCCACCACCAGAGGAAAGACATCTCTCAATGCCAGAGATTTGTGAAAAGAAAAGGAAAGGAAAGGTTTATTTAATGCTATACAGACCTAACGTCTTCATTAAAATATCCAAGTCCTTTAGGATATCCACCTATGCACACAGCACTCCCTTCTCCCCGTTTGAACTCCGGGTACTGTAAATCAGGAAAAGAGCACACGTCCATTTTTTCCAGACCGCGGGTACCATCAGCTGTGTTGCGGTCCAGGCAGGATCTCCAATTAATCCAAAGTCATGCAGCACCTTCTCAGGTCCACTGGCAAGAGTTCTTTGTACCCATTTTTCCATGCAAAGTCTCTCCTGCTTCCCAGGCCACGTAGCCAAGGGGAGCACCCCAAAGCCACATGGGCTTCTTCTACCAAAGCTGCAGGGGTCCGTACTCCACCAAAAGTGTGTGGCTTTCTTCTTCACCTGGCTGCAGAGGTTCCCATTCTGGCAAAGCACGTGGTTCTCTTTCACCTGGGCCAGAGGGGGGTCCCCACTCTGCTAAAACCTCGTGGCTCTCTCTCCAATGGCTGACAAGTATGCGTTTAAATCCCTGCGCCAGTCCTTTGCAGCCCCCATTTCTGACTCCTCCCACAATCAGTTACACCTGCCAGGACTCCCCATCCTCCTAGCTTTACTAGGCTGCCATAGTAAGTCTGGGCAGGTGTGGCCCTATGGTGTGGAGCCAGTCAATTCCAAGCTCTCATGCCGGCACTGTAACTCAGGGGACCAGCCCCCAGTTCTGTTCTGGGTAAAAGTCACTCCCTTCTCCCTGGCTCTAGGCATGGCCACAGCTGTTTAACATATCTATGAAACCAGTTAAAGGTTATAGATACGTTAAATGACCATTCCAGAGGTTAGCTGGGAAACTGTTGCTATAAAAAAACAGCTCTCAATAGCCCTGCTCCATTTGTCCTTTCCCCAGCTGGCACCTGGGGGGGCGGTGAGGACATCTTAATATTTCCTGGACACTTTGAGTTCTGGACCCCATTCCAAATCCTTTTTTGGGGCTCCCCTCTTGGCTGTGCCCTGTTACAGTCATATACCAGTGAAGCTGAGCAGTATTCTTAGAGGAACCTGGCAAAGTGGTAAGACCTTGAAACTGACTTGCCAGGCAGTAGCAGCCATTGAAGGACCCTTGGGGGAGCAAGGCAATTGCAGCATGGGTGCTAGACTGCCTGAAGAGTTAGGGGTCTGATGAAGGTAGAGTGGACTAGGACCAATGGGAAGTGAGGGAGAAACAAATTGCAATAAAGACATTAGGGAGGAGGACTGGGTGCTTATTTTTGGTATGTTTGGATGTATGAAGGACAAGGAAGAATGTGAGAAGTCTTCAAGATTTCAGGTTTCAGGATACAATTTATTGGCTGTGAATAGCCTTGTTTAAAAAAAGGTGGTCAAGTTCTTGTCCAGCAGGATGTGTTTGGGTGTGTGTGTGTTGATTTGGAGAGGGCATTTTAAGAAAAAAATGCCAAATGATTAATTTTTAAGAATAATTTAGAAAAGTAAACATGGAAAAATTTTGTCTTTGGCTTCTTACTTTGGCTGAGAATCCTAAGACTTATATGTGTAAACCAGTGGTTGTTGGAACCAGTTCAATGCCAACAGGAATCCCCAATTTGGGGTGTGGTAAAGGGGAAGAAGGAAACTTGATTCAATGCAAACAACTCAGTTGTGATATAGTACTACTATGAAAACAGCATGGCCTGTGGAGTAGCTTAATAGTGTTACAGCTTAATTATGAAGCAGTGCAGGGCAGCCTGGCTGTGAGTATGCCCTGGGGCTACTTTCCTCCACTGCCGGACAGCTTTGCTCTGCTTGCTCTGCTTGCTTTGCTTTGCTCACTGCCAGTCTGGTCTGTTCTGTGTTCCCCATACTTTACCTTTTTACTCCTTTTGGTTTTTTGTCTGGTGTTTTAGGTGTAGTCTTAAACACAGACTTCAGTGGAAAGGGAAAGTGCACTGTCTGAGCCAGAAGTGAGCTGACATATAGAGAGAAGGCTCTACCCTTGTCCCTGATTGGCCCATACTCATGCAAATGAGGACTTCAGATGCTCACGGTTTGATTGGTCCAAAAGCCATTGACCTTATTGGTCAAAATAGCCACTCTGATTGGTTAAAGAGGATGCTAATGGAGATATAGAGTCCAGCTCTGACTGTATGGGGAGTCTCAGTCCTGTTGGTTGAACTACAGTTCCAGGAACTCCTTTATAAAGGCTGGCTCAGAAGTCAGGAACAGAGTGCAGGAAGGCACTTCAATGTTGGCTTCTCCTTGAAGTGCTGCTTGTGTTTCCATGAGAGGCCCCTGTTTAGAAACAGCTGCTCAAAATACGCTTTTAATTTGAGTCCAGTTAGTCACCAGGTGTCTTTCTTGGTAGCTATCTTCTTTCTCAGGGTCTTCATATCTTTGTGATTTATATGCATATCTTGGGAAACACATTTCTTAGGGCTGATCAATTGAAGTATTTTTGCAAATGCTAATTGTAAACAATAATTTCATTTTTAGTACAGTAAAAGTGATGTGTCTGTTGTACAAATAAGAACAAACTAACACTACTTCTGACAAAGTTATAATGAAAAATTGACAATTCTGGGTTTTTTGCCATGAGATAAATATATTTTTTAAGATTTTATTTATTTACCTTTAGAGGGGAAGGGAAGGAGAAAGGGAGAGAAATATCAACCACGAGAGAGGTATGGCCTCTTGTGGGTCTCCTGCTGGGAACTGGCCTGCAACCCAGGCATGTGCCCTGGCTGGAAATCGAACCATGATCCTCTAGTTTGCAGGCCCACACTCAGTCCACTGAGCTGCACCAGCCAGGGCGAGATAACTATTTTTTATTTATATCCATAGAAAAGAGGTGGAGAGAATAGTTTCGTAAAAATAATTATACTACACATGCAATTTTGTTAGCTTTTTTTTAGGTCGAATGTATATAATGGTTATTTTTCCAAATCAGTACATTAGATCACTTATGAATTAATGTAATTTTAATATATATTTTTTTCTGCAATTGGTTAGCCATTATTTTTTTACCCATACTTTGTTGCTAACATCTAGGCCAGCAATTTTCAATTATGGCACAATGGTGTGCCACAATAATTTGTAAAACATGTAATACCTGACTGTTTAGTCAGGGGCACTGACATCTTTTACCTTGGATTGATTGTCAAATTAAAAAATACCAACAGCCAACACAACAATAGGTGTTTGGTATGAATGAATCAAAATTGTGGCCATTTTTTTGGTCAGATTGTCAGAAAATATATTTTTGCATGCGTTGCAGAACTTCCATAGTTAGTTTACGTATGCCATGATGAAGAAGGTTGGAAATTGCTGACCAAGGCAGTTCCTAGTATTTTTGGTCATAAGCACCGCTACACTGAAAATCTTTGAACATATATATGTTTATACCCTCTCAGTGTTTATCTGTGCTTAAAGTTCTGAAAGGTTGAATTGCTGAGTCAAAGTTGCCTGATTATCAGTGGTGCATGGCATTAAGCATTTCTTTTAGTATATTTCTTTTTCGATGGGTACAGGCTATCTCTGTGTTGCTAGAAGTAGCATTAAAGAGTAATTCTTTTTTTGACATTTCAGATAAGAGCAAATTTTAGGAGGATATAAAGTAAATAATTTCATTTTTGTGAATCCTGTTTTCCCCTTAAATGTCTGCTGAAAATTTGTTCTGGGTGTGGTGCATAATGTTAACAGAGAAGGAGATGTCAATAGTTAGGAGGAAGAAGTGCTGATACCTTAATAAAGTCTACTCGGAAGTAGATTAAAGAAGTTGGGTCTCTTTGTTGTTCTTTAATTCTATTAGCTTACTTTTTTTCC